CAGCAACGGCAGCACCCACTAAAAACAACAAATTCATTAATAATATAGAAGCTACATGAAGATGCCCAGGTCCTGGGGCAAAGCAGCTGCGCCCTCCCGAAGACCTCTGTCAGCATTCACTGCCTCTAAAACAACCTCAAGAGCAGCGCTCACTGGCTGGTGTTCCCAGGGCCCCTCCCACTCCTTCAGGGGAGAAACTGAGCAAAGGGGAGACCAGCTCTCAGCAAAGCTCCGAGTGTGCCCGGCGCTGTCTGCGCGCCGCTTCAAGTGCTCTTCCCTGTCATTTCAAAGGACAGTTTAATGCACTGTTCCCTTTTCTTTTGTAACCTACTCCTGAGACTCACTCCTGCCTCAAAACTGGTCCCACCAGGAGGCGTCCCTGGAATTTTGGACAGAGCAAGGGTTTGGGTTACAACTTGGGAGTGAGCTTTCAAGACCATAACCCTTAAGAGGGCTTGACCCGAGGGAGACACAAGGGAAGAGCCTCGTCCCCCATCCACGGCTTGAGGGCAGGGTTCTTGCCAAGAGTGTCCTCACAACCAAGGGACGTGCTGCAGCCCCTGTGATGTCCCTCCCCTTCCTGCACTCTGCCCCTGCAGGAATATTCCTTGCAATATTCCAAAGTGATCCTGATGCTCACTCGCCTAGCAAGAACCCCAAGGCGGCTTTCAAAGTTTGGGAAAGCGTGGGAGGGATCCTGGGAAAATTGTCAGAGGTCAGCTGCCAGGTTCGGAAGGCTCTCCTTGGATCTCTGGGTTGAAGAGTAGCGAACACTCTCCCTCTTAGAGTCCCTCCCCCATTTCCGTTGTTTCTGTGCCAGGTTACCTCCGCCACACTTTAAAAAGAATTTTATGTGTGGTTCTTGCGCGAATATATATGCATTAGTTGCGTGCTTGGTTCTCGCAGAGGCCGGAAGAGGGCATCAGTTTCCTTGGAACCGGAGTTACAGAAGGTTAAGAGCTGTAAACTGGGCGCTGGGAACAGAACACAGGGCCACTGTCAAAGCTCTCAACTGTCGAGCTCCCCAGACCGTTGGAGTCCTCTGGAGCCCAAGCCAGCCCAGTGCAGTTCAGCCCTGCCCCTGCAGTGGCTATGGGGGGCACTGGGTGTCACTTCTTCCTGAGGAGCATCAGAGGTGTGGCCCCCAGTTTCCTTAAGTCCAAAATACTGAGTCAAAACAATTCCTGTTTGCTAAGGATTTTAAAGATGATGAAACTCCTGCATAGCATCTCATCGTGGATTATCTAAGTCACTGACACTATAAAGTAGGAAGTTATATGAGACAGGTGTCTGACCCTTCCCATTCTCTCTCTCTCTCTCTCTCTCTCTCTGTGTGTGTGTGTGTGTGTGTGTGTGTGTGTGTGTGTGTGAAGGGATTTGCTTCAGTGTATGGTGGGAAATCACACCATCAGAAAATGATGATGCTGAGTCTCAGACTCCAAGGTTTCTGAGCTCTACACAAGGGCTCCTCCCCGCCCCAGCCCTGGCACTGAAAGATGAGGGAAATGGTAACTAAACTGGGACACAAAACTTCGCTGGGACTCCCTCCCCCCTTTTTCTCAATTCTTGTTACAAAGGGACTATACATCCCTGGAATGATCAGAGCTAATATGGAAGCTGCCGGTGGAGAAGGGCCATATCTACATTGTCTGAAGCTAAGTGTTCTGACCTAGCTCACCCGGTGTCTGATACAGCAGCAGGTCAATGAGCAGCTGTTACATGAGCCATGAACTGCAATGGCAATTAGAACTGTGTAGCATTGGAAGGAACACACCTAGCGCCCCAGGAAGATGTGAGGGCTTTCCTGGGTGTTGGAAACAAGCAAGCTTGAGGAGAAGGTGGTAGGTGATGGTTCTGGTTTGGGCGTCCTCTCCCCGGCATCCTACCGTGCCATGGTCCAGGAATTTCACACGGCTCTTTGTACTCACTGCTGGTCTTTCTAAGGGCGCTGGAGGGAGAGAAGGGCACTGGGCCGCAAAGGCTGGTGGTTACTCTGCTCCTCTGGGGCTGGGCCTCAGCCTCTGCAGCTCCTTGGTTTCTAACCAGTGAAATTAAGATGGGCCTTTGGGAAAACCTCCTGAGAGCTGGGATCTGTGCTACCGAAGGCCCAGGCCACTGACAGTGAGTTAGTTGCAGTGCAAAGGAAGGCGCAGCAGCCATGAAGGGTGAGCTTGATTTTCCAATACTAATCCACAGCTACAAGAGGGAAAGAGTCAGAGAGGCAGCACGCTCCGTGGTCAGAGAGAGAGGCTGGAACCTGGGCAGAGGCTCCCAAGACCTTTGCCTGGGTGAGTTCAGAGGTAAACACCCAGCGTTTTGGGGTTTGTTGTTGTTGTTGTTGTTTGCCAAAAGCTCTTGAGAATTCAGTCTTTCTCTTATTGGAGTCAGTGCTCATGGGCAGTAATGCAAAATGATAGGTGCAAAAATGATAGGTGTTTATGAAGGAGCGTGAGACGTTCATTCGGTTTGGGCTACAGCGTACTGCACCCCCACACACCCCCCCCACACACACACACACCAGCTCTAGGTAGGAGCTGGGCCTAGAGTGCGGGCCTGAGAAGGTTGAAGGTCCAGTTCCCTCCCCCACCAAGGGCCAAGGCCGAGGCTTGCCGGGGCCTTCACCCCTCCAGCTCTGAGCCCAGCGCCCACCCACTGCTGTAGTTTGGAAAAGGCTCTGGGTTACAGTAGCGCTGAAACCTCGCTTGTTCTCGCTCTCCCACACCGGCCACCTGCTGGTTTCTGGAGGCCAGGTCTGCACTACCCAGAGTCCGTGGAAGGCCGAACAGGCAAGAGGTTGGATAATAATCACGGAAACAGAAATACAGACCTTGGCCGTGAGCTTTTTTTTTTTTTTTTCCCTCAAGCTTTGGGTGTGTTTTGATGTGTCCGATTTTGCTTGAATCTCAAGAAGAAGAAGAAGAAAAGAATTCTCTCCTTGTGTAAATGGCATTGAAGGGGACGAGACAACCGACACTTTATACTTGGTGCTTCTTGTAACTAGCATCACTTATAAAATAACGGAGTTGACAGAGACAGGCGACCGAAACCTCCTGCTAAGACCCCTTCCCCAGCGTTGGCAGGTCTGGGTCGTGCCTTCAGACGGTCCGCGCTCTGCTCCGCCTGCCCTTTCCATCAGTCACTTGATCCAGCTCGGCCTCCTGTCCCCACGCAGGAGAGCAAAGCTCTGGCGGCGGGGGCCTGAGCTCGTCTTGAGAGCGCCCCCCAGAGAAGGCCCTGGGAAAGGAGAGCGAGCGCAGAGCTTCCCCTCGCCCCTAGCTTAGCCCCAGCGCACCTGCCCGCGCCCAAGCCCCGGTGGGGGCCTCGGGGACACGCGGGCCCACTCGGGAGGCCCGCGGGGGCCCGGAGCCTCGGCTCCCGTCCCGGCAGAGCTAGGTGGCGAGGAAAGCTCCCGCTGGCACAGCCGCTGGCTTTGCGTTGAGGGGGTAGAGAGCACTCTTCAAGGCCAGATCTTAAAGAGCAAATGCAACAACTTTCCATCCCGTAATTGCTATTAGTGGAAAGGAGCCTACCCTGCTGAATGAGCTCGCTCCAAACCGCCCGTTCATTCCCGGGAGCCCCCTCGCTACGAGGAGAGGACAGAAAACGTGAAAACAAAAAACCCAAATCAAGGAGGCTCCTTGACTGGCCGCCGAAGTGTCTGGGAGGCACCTGCCGGGCCAGGAGGCACTCCGCCCTCCCAGCCCCGAGCGCGCCGAGGAGGCTCACACTGCAGACGAGCACAGCAGACCCCCCAACAAACACCAGCGGAAACGCTGGCCTTCCAGGAGAAAAACGGAGGTGGCCTCCCGAGCCGTGTGGCGCAGGGCTTGGCCGGGTGGGCCACTCGACTGCTGATGGCGGCCTGGTGACAGCCACGAGGCCGCCGCCCCCGGCCCCGCCGGGGAGCGCAGCCCACCGCTCCCCCTCGCCAGGCGCCCAAGGACCCTCAAGGCGCGGGGCTCACACTTGAAGCCCTGGGAACGCTCAGACAGGAAACCCACTTCCTCCTAAGCGGTGTCTTGCTAGCCGGATGAGAGGCGCCCAATTGAAGCCGAGTGATCCTCAGCCGCTAATATCCAGCGCGGCCACAAAGCGGCCGGCCGTTTCCGCCGCCACTTTAGACAAAGATATTTGGTTATTCCCGGGGAAGCGAGTGCACTCCGGCGCCGGGCCCCGGGAGGAGGCGAGCCTCCGCGCAGCCTCCCGCCCGCCGGGCTGCGGGCGTCGGGGAACTCGCCTCCTCCCGGAGCGCGCCTTCCCCCGGGGTTCCCGCTCAGCTCCGCTCGGCGCCCGCGCGGCCCCCCGCCCGGGCCCTTCCCGGGGCAGCGGGGACCCGGGCTGAGGTGCGAGGGCCGCGATGTCCTGCGAAAGTCCGCACCAGCTTCGGGAGCCGGAGGAGCCAGGCCATGGGCAAGGGTCTGGGGCAGCAGGTTGGTTCGAGGTGGGGCGGCTTCCGTGGGGGACCCCCGCGTTAATCCCCGCGCCCTGGTCCCCCCAGCTCCGAAGGCCGGCGGCGCCGTCGCCCGGGCCGGCGGGGGGAGGGTGGGGAGAGGGAGCGGCGGGGTGGGCTGGGCCGGGGGGCTGGGCCGCCCGGGAGCCAGGGTGGGGGGTGGCGCGGGGATCCGTGACCGCCTCCCGGAGGCAGCCGTGCCCTTCCCCAGCTCCCCCTCCACCCGCCGGGATCCTCTCGGGCGAGGGGGAAGGGGGCGGGTAGCGGAGGTGTCCCTCTGACGGCGGCAGAAGAGGCCGACAGACAGACTGACAGACACGTAGACCGACAGCGCAGCCCCGGGCTCCGCAGCCCCGGACTCGCGCACTCTCTGGGTGGCGCCCGGGGCTCGGCGCGGCGGAGCCCGATGTGGTCCGGAGGCGGTGGGAAGGCGCGGGGCTGGGAGGCCGCGGCGGGAGGGAGGAGCAGCCCCGGCAGGCGCAGGTGAAACCCCGCTCCCCGCTCCCCGGCCCCTGACCCCGCCACCCCGGCCGGGCCGGACCCCGGGGCCACTTTGTAACTCCTCAAGTTGGTTGCAAAGCGGCAGTCGCCTCCCTGCCTCCTTCCCGTCCCTCCCTTTGGGTTACTCTCTACCCCACCTCTGGCCCTCCCGCTCTCGGCTCCCTCCTCTCCTCCCTCCCCCGCCTTCTCCCCGCGCGCCACAGGCACCCCACAAAAATGGGGGTGGGAGTGTACCAGGGAGGGGTAAAGTAATGCTTTGGCTCTCTCTCTCTCTCTCTCTCTCTCTCTCTCCTTTCTCTCTTTGAGACCTAAAAAATCTTGACAAGTGAAGCTTAAAGGTGTTTACCTTGTCATCAGCATGTAAGCTAATTATCTCGGGCAAGATGTAGGCTTCTATTGTCTTGTTGCTTTAGCGCTTATGCCCCGCCTCTGGTGGCTGCCTAAAACCTGGCGCCGGGCTAAAACAAACGCGAGGCAGCCCCCGAGCCTCCACTCAAGCCAATTAAGGCGGACTCGGGCCACTCCGTTACGTGTACAGCCAACGAGACCGGCCTTAAGGTAACACCAGAATATTTGGCAAAGGGAGGAAAAAAAAAAGTAGCGAGGCTTCGCCTTCCCCCTCTCCCTTTTTTTTTTTTTCCTCCTCTTCCTTCCTCCTCCAGCCGACGCCGAATCATGTCGATGAGTCCAAAGCACACGACTCCGTTCTCAGTGTCTGACATCTTGAGTCCCCTGGAGGAAAGCTACAAGAAAGTGGGCATGGAGGGCGGCGGCCTCGGGGCTCCGCTGGCGGCGTACAGACAGGGCCAGGCGGGCCCGCCGGCCGCGGCCATGCAGCAGCACGCCGTGGGCCACCACGGCGCCGTCACCGCCGCCTACCACATGACGGCGGCGGGGGTACCCCAGCTCTCGCACTCCGCCGTGGGGGGCTACTGCAACGGCAACCTGGGCAACATGAGCGAGCTGCCGCCCTACCAGGACACCATGCGGAACAGCGCCTCGGGCCCCGGCTGGTACGGCGCCAACCCGGACCCGCGCTTCCCCGCCAGTAAGTGAGGCCGCCCCGCGCGGGGCCGCGGGCAGGGCGCGGGGGGCGCGCGGGGCGAGGGGTGGGCGGCCCGCGGCGGCGCCCGGGGCAGGGCTGCGGGAGCCGGACCTCCTCCCCGCAACCGCGGGCTCGGGCTTCCCCGAGAGGCGCCCGGTGGAGGCTGGGCTCCTGCGCTCGGCGCGCCCGGCACCGCGGGCACCGAGCGCGGGCTTGGAGCGGAAGGCTCCGGGGAGCCGGGGGAGGCCCGCCGGAGCCGAGGGCTCGGGCCGGCGGGGCTGGGGGCGCCCAGGCCGGCGCCCTGCCAGTCTCCGGGCGGGTTGGGGTGGCGCGCAGCTCTGGACGCGGCTGCGCACGGGCCGAGCAGGTGTCCTCGCCTGGAGCCCGCAGGCGGGAGGGCAGGCGAGAGGCCAGGCGCCTGCAAGCCGGGGCTTCCGAGAAGGGCAACCCCCTGTGCTAACCCCCTGGAGCCGGGGTCCGTCTTTCTGCCCCAGCCCTCCGCACCCCGGGGTCTCCTACCCGGCTGGGGCACTGAAGGAGCCGACGCGCGCTCCTCCCCGCGCTGTGCATTCCGAGTCTAAGGAGTCTGACACCGCTCCAGAGTGACTAGACTTGCAACCCCTAAGCTCTTCGACGGTGCGGCCCGGGGGCAAGGCACTGGCCCCCAGCCAGCCGGGCCTAGTTCGGGGAGAGAACGCTGGGCGGCCTAGGCGAGGAGAAGGTCCTGGAAGGCTGGGGCCGGCGCTTGGGCCAAGGGCACGGAGAGCCGGGGTAGCCCGCCCCGGCCCCAGCCGACGCTGTGCGTTTGTCGCTTACAGTCTCCCGCTTCATGGGCCCGGCGAGCGGCATGAATATGAGCGGCATGGGCGGCCTGGGCTCGCTGGGGGACGTGAGCAAGAACATGGCCCCGCTGCCCAGCGCGCCCCGCCGGAAGCGCCGCGTGCTCTTCTCGCAGGCGCAGGTCTACGAGCTGGAGCGGCGCTTCAAGCAGCAGAAGTACCTGTCGGCGCCCGAGCGCGAGCACCTGGCCAGCATGATCCACCTGACGCCCACGCAGGTCAAGATCTGGTTCCAGAACCACCGCTACAAGATGAAGCGCCAGGCCAAGGACAAGGCGGCGCAGCAGCAGCTGCAGCAGGACAGCGGCGGCGGCGGCGGCGGGGGCGCGGGGTGCCCGCAGCAGCAGCAGCAGGCCCAGCAGCAGTCCCCGCGCCGGGTGGCCGTGCCGGTCCTGGTGAAGGACGGCAAGCCGTGCCAGGCGGGGGCCCCCGCGCCGGGTGCCGCCAGCCTGCAGGGCCACGCGCAGCAGCAGGCTCAGCAGCAGGCGCAGGCGGCGCAGGCGGCCGCCGCGGCCATCTCGGTGGGCAGCGGGGGCGCGGGGCTGGGCGCGCACCCGGCCCACCAGCCGGGCAGCGCGGGCCAGTCACCGGACCTGGCGCACCACGCGGCCAGCCCGGCGGCGCTGCAGGGCCAGGTCTCCAGCTTATCCCATCTGAACTCCTCGGGCTCGGACTATGGCGCCATGTCCTGCTCCACTTTGCTTTATGGTCGGACCTGGTGAGACATGGGACCCGCCTGAGCCCCCGCGCGACCTCACAGCTTCCCCTCTGCCCTCCGCCAAGACCACTACTCGCCCGCTGCCCCACGCGCTTCTACTTTTCTTTAAAAAAAAAAATCTATTTGTGTTTAGACCAAGGAAAAGTACACAAAGACCAAATTGCTCTGCTGGACTCCTTCTTCTTCTTCTTCTTCTTCTTCTTCTTCTTCTTCTTCTTCTTCTTC